GGTGAATGCCAGGAACTGCAAGCCGTTTGGTGTTGTAGGAGTTTAAACAGGAGGGTGAGAAATGGGGGGAAATACCCTAGTTGGAGCAACAGGACAGGAACAGATAGCGGGGGAATTCCAGAGAAGGCCTTGGACTTCGTCCTATGGGTGATGGAGAACCCTGGCAGATATCAAGCCTTGCAAGGATGCAATCAGACGGTGTTTTAGAAAGATCACTCCAGTGGTTGTGAGGAGGATGAGCTTGTCAGGTAATAGGAGTCAGGGAGATCAGGAAAAGGGCACCTCTCAGCCAGAAAGAAGATGCTGCTACATACCACTGTTGATAGACAGGAAACGTGGATCGACAGACAGATACTAAGAAGGCAAGCTGAAGAGACCTGGGGACTGCCTGGATATGCAGGGCAAAAGGGGGAAGAGTTGTATATGACATAAATTCTTATCCTGGGTAGGAAGAAGAAAATCTAGGTGAAGTTACTTTTTTCTTCCCCCCAGTAAAATAGGATGACTTTAATTTTGACATGTGATGTTTGACATGTACAAGGATATACAGGTTGAAACGTCAGTATAAAAAGTCACAAGAGTTGTCTGCATTACAGAGAAGAGCTTGAGTCAACAGCACTTATAAAATCTTGACAAGATGAGAAGAGCAGGTAGACTGCTAAGTGAGAAAAGCTGTGGGCAGAGGAAGAACCCCTGGAAAACACCAATCTTTCACAGAAAGACGGGCACAGAGGCTGTTACAAAGAAGAAAAAGTACAAGGGCTAGGGTCAGAAATCCCAGAAATAAAGGGAGTAGCTTCAGGAAGCTGTCAATGAGTGATTACTGTTGTCAGATGCAGTCGAGAAAGGTCTGCGAAGCTGAAGGATAAAAAGTGCACACTTCCTTTAACAATTAGGAGGTCACGTGTAGGTATACTGGTTAGACCTCTTGGTTGCAGACAACTGAATCCACTCAAGTTACTTTAGGCAGAAAGGTATTTATTAGAGATTATTAGATAAGCATACACAATCTCCAGGAGGTCACAGACACAGGGGTGGAAGTCTCTGCCAGGATGAGCAGCTTCCAAGGCAAACACCCACCCTCCCCATAGGACTGTTACAGTGGAAACTCCCGGCTGCCTGGGACCAGGTCATAGAAACCTTCACCAGAGCTGCCCTGGATGAACAAACACCTCTGCTACTGTGCCTACAAGTAGGGCCACTCTTCCTAAGAGCAGTCTCATTCTAGGATGAGCCTGCTCCACACCACCTAACTGAATGTTCATCTTCAGACTTCCAAAGTCCCATCACCTACTTCATCCACAAATGATACCTCTGTGCAGCGTAAAATGAAGATTGTGTCCAAAAAAAAAAAAGCAAGAATAGTCTTTATTCCTCGGAAACACAATTGGAAAACTGTATCAATAAAATCAAAAGATTCAGAACACAATTACTTGTATGCAACACAAACACGGAGGATCCAAACGTCTGCTACAAGGAAACACACCTGTGAACAAGTACCTTAGGGAGAGTTTACAGGTGATCGGCCTGACTAGGCCGCATGTGCAATTGAGTCTCTCCTTCGGATAGACTTTTGTGGTAACCCTTTCAAAAAAGGTCAGATTTCAGCAATAAACTATCTCAAAGGATGGCAACACATCTTTAAAAAAAAAAAAAAAAGGCTTGAGAGGGCCAAATTACCATTGCATATATGAAAATGGCGCAAGAATTGATTTCACAAAAATACTAAAGAAAGCATTTTGAGCCTACCTAGGGGAAAAAAATGTCTTAATTGGGAGCTTGAAATGGGGGAAAATAAGTATTTTGCTACAAGTTCAGGTCTAAAAAACATACTGATTTCTGGTTCTACAAAAAGACTGTAGCGATACCCTCCTGTCCTCTTGCCCAGATGCTTTGGCACAATGTCATTAAAATTTTATATGCTTTAATTTGAGCCATCATTGAGTCTCAGATGCATGTTGCCTTATATATATATATATATGTATTTTTTAAAGTTTATTTATTTTTGCTTTTGGCCATGCCTCGAGGCATGCAAGATCTTAGTTCCTCAACCAGGGATCGAACCCATGCCCCCTGCAATGGAAGTGTGGCATCTTAACTGCTGGACTGCCAGGGAAGTCCTTATAGGTTGCTCCTTAAAATAAAGAAGTCTAGGATAAAAACCAACCCTCAAACTCTGCATATTCTAACAGTGTGTATTCATAATTATGTCTTCTGAAATCATGCAAATTAGCAGCACAGATCATTAAGACATTAAAAAATTATTCTTGTACTTGAGCAGCAACTTCTATTAAGACAAATGCTATGCGATTTATGATTAATAAAACTGCTAAAATTCAAAGTGGCTAAACTGCTTTAAGATAGAAAATTCAAAATCTCCCTGTATTTATACAACCTCTAACATGTTACATACTTTATTTAGCTTCTGAAAGAGGTAATCCTCTGTTAGAGAAAGTCTGAATGTTATGTGCTCAGCTTAAACATATTAAATGTTGATAAATCACAGAATTTTAGACCTAGAGAAGACCTTGTGATCATTTAGTCCAACCTGCTCTTTTCGGGCAGGGAAAACAAGGCCAACAGAGGGAAAATGGTTTGTCCAATATCACACAATGACAGAGGCTGGACCCCAGTGACCCCAATCCCCACCACGGTACTACATGATACTCTCTCTACAGAGTGAGCTTCCCAAGTTTTCCTGGGTTTATTTGGTCCCATTCATTAAATAACAAAGAAACATCAGGTACACAGCAATAATAACAATAAACACAGACTTATACTCCAATTTTAAAATCAGAATATCAAAATGATTCCTGAGCCTTTAACTACCTTCATTTTGTTGAGAATGCAGTCCACAGTAAGTTGTGACTACCTATCGTGGTTACTTGCAAATATTTACACGGACACTGAAAACACCATTCAGAACTATTCCTCGGAGATATTTCTATAAACACGTCCATGTGATGCCAAGACACTTTCCATGGGACGGCATGAAACTATGATGGTGAATGGAAGTAAGATGCTTCAGGCTCTCAAAGTGCAGTCATGAGTTTATCTCGACACATCATACTCTGCTTTCCTCCTAAGTTCTTCAGGTTCTGGTCGTGGACATAATCGAGATGGCTGTCATCTCCACTGGCCGACGCTTTCCAATGCGGCCTGTCATCCTGAAAGGATGGCCTGTTTTGTTTGCAGAGGGAGCAGTTAGTGGGGGGTATGGAAGACAATCAGAGAATTGAGTGAAACAACACAAGTGCAAAGGAAATGGGCGGGGGAAACCATGAACTACATGAATGCAGATGGCTTTCAGAAGAAATGAAGAGATTTTCTACTTTCAAGTGTATTTTAAATTCAGATGCTCTGGTCCTCTACCAACTTCCAAGTTGAGAACAGTGCTGCCTGTGGCTGGGCCATCATCCCTCCAAGGGTGTCTAAGGATCTAGTCAGTCTGGGAAATGCTAGGTGATGGTGAAAAAGGCTCCTTTTCTATGGGAATTCTCAGAGCTGTTGCCACGGGAACATACACCATGAATGTCTTATTCAGCCTTTTCTGAAAGTGCTGGACCAAATAATTCTCTTTTCATTGAGAGTCTGATAAAATATCATATACTGGGTCCCACCCCCAGAGATTTTGATGCTGGAGGTCTGGGGTGGGGCTGGGACTCTGCATGATCAAGCTCCCAGGTGACACAGATGCTGCTAGGCATCAGGGCCACCTTCGAGTAGCACTGGTCCAGCCTTCCTAGCATTCCCAGCGAAGACTGCCTCACAAGGAAACCAACATGATAAAACAGGCGAAAATCAATGTTATGTTTTATAAGCATGAGGTTAAATTAAAAAGCATTTATATGAATCTCTTCCATGCCTCAGGTCTGGAAAAGAAACAGTCTTTGCAATATGGAAACTTTTAAAGGTATTAGTTCACTAGTCTAACTTGCCTTTCAGTGTTACATGGACATCAAGTGCTTATAATCAAACTGCACTGTTGTCCTACAGGATCCGCAACAGACAAGGTAATAGAGATCAAGAACTAATTGCTCTCCTTGGCCTTGTTCTAAATGGATGTATTCCCATCACTCCATTCACCATACTCTCTCTCAAGGAGCCAGGTTCACAATCTCATAATAAATAACTTAAACTGAATTCACCAACTATGTTTCTGAAAGAGCTTCACATATAAACACCAATTAAGACTGATCTGAAATTCAAATCTTAAAAGGAACATTTGCTTTTATCAAGCTGGCATTAAAAAAAAAAAAAATCCCAAGCTTAATCATAAATGCAACAAAGCAGGTGCCAGGTTACCTGGGAAGGACGATGGAAGGTTAGGACACAGGTGGGTAAACACGGCCCTCAGCCTAAACCCCACTGTCTGTTTTCATAAATAAGCTTTCTGGGAACACAGACAGGCCCATTCACTTCTGCATCATTTGTGGCTGCTTTCAAGCTATTCAGTACAATAGCAGGGTTGAGTAGCTGTGACAGAGACCACAAAGCTGAAAGTATTATCTGGACCTTTACAGAAAAGTTTACTGACCCCAAGGTTTAGAAAAAAATCCATCATCACAGAAAGCAACCCTCCACTCCATCTCTGGGGGAAAAAAAATCCTTTCAAAAAAGTCCCACAACAAAAATCCCTGAGCTTTAATCGTATTTTTAATAGATGAATTCTTAGGACAGAAAAATGTTACTTAAATTCTAAGCAACATTTCAAACATAAAACCAAACCCCAAATACCCGAGGTTAGACTGACTAAAACAAAACAAAACCAAAAACCCCCTCCTAGTTCATTTTATTTCATCAAGCATAAGCTTTAGTAAATCCAGACCCATCACCGGCTTCTTTTGCTTTGCAAATTACTCATCTCTTCCAGGACAAGACAACTCTTTTAACAGTGGTTTCTGATGCAGAATTTCAATTCACAACGAAGTAGAAAAGAAGAGCTTGGAAAAGGAGAGTAGAAAGTAGAAAAGGACAGCTCTGGGAGCTCAGGTACTTACCTTATGTTTGGAGAGTGTGGGTGCCACCGAGGTTGGCCGGGGTGGAGATTGGGATGATACTGAGGCTAGAAATAAAATACCAAACTGGATTACTCAACGCCCTTTTGGTTTCAACGGTCTTCACTGGCTGTGGATGGAGAGGCTCTCACTGATGCCTGGCTAGGGGAGCAGACGTTTCCCAGGATATCAAGTTTCCCCCATGACAAAGGCTGGGGGGCTGCCCTCTAAGAAGAAAGGTAGAAAGCATCTTCCTTGAAAGGGTGCCCCAGAGCACCCGGGGCCAGGCAGCATTCATCTCTCCCAAGGGAGCCGAAGGAAGGGGCCAGAGAAACGGGGGAGAATAGGGGTAATTTATTCTTTAGAAACAGTTTCTGCCATTGCTGAAAAGGATGACAACTGTGTGTAAATAGTCACACTGCAAACAGGACTGGACAGGGGACGACGCCAAGGGAGCAGGACTGTGCGCGAACTCTTTCTCTCGTTTAAATACTTTTCTATCAGGTGATCCAAAAGTAAACATCCCCCGGAAACAAACAAAACCACAAACCATCTAGATCCTGATAGAGAGAGAGAGACGTAGTTTGCCCATTTTAACGTGGAAAAAAAAAAAAAAAGGATCCAGACAGGTGACTCACAAAAATGGCCAGGGGTCAAGACAAGGCAGGCTTGGGTGGGTGGCAGGCTGCCTGCAGCTCCACTTCTGGCCTGCAGGGGGCAGCAGCCACAGACACTGCCAGAAGTCCTGGGGCTTCGCAAGCCTAAACTTTCTATAGGGCAGATGAGGCTTTCCTGACATTGGAAGTCACTATAGTCTGGCCACTATTATTCTTTTCATCATTTCTTTCCCTTCTTCTCCCTCCCTGATGCTTTTGTTAATAAGCAGGAGTCTATTTTCTAGTATGGAAAATTCTCAGCCATTCTGTTCGTTCAGTGTTTCTGGACCTGAGATGCCCTCCTGGCCCTACTGTGTATTCCAATGGCCTCTCTCTCCTTCAAAGATGCCTGTCAGCAAGACTGCATCCACTAAAGGCCATCTGATGGGAAAGTGGAATCTGGAGAAAAATCTCAGTAGCAGAGTCTGAAAGCTGACCAGTGCTTTAGAATCTCCTGGAAGTCATCTCTGCACATGTCTCTCTTTTAGGGGCTGCAGAAGCCCAGAGAAGTGATAGATGACTCGCCCAAAGCTGAGCAGTTTCAGGCGTTTCAATCACACAGCCAGGCTCCAAATGAGGCTCCACCAACTGCGTCTTCAACAACAGAGACTAAGCTAGACTAGAAATGGATCTTCTAACACCTCGTCTTCAAACACAACCAAATCAGATGCACTGGAGAGAGGTGGTCACCTTATCCGTAAAGCCCTGGAAGAAGGATATTCCAGAACCTTCCTTGTTCTCCTTCAAAAAATTATATACCCTCTAAAGCTGTCCACCTGATGCGAAGAGCTGACTCATTGGAAAAGACCCTGATGCTGGGAAAGACTGAAGGCGGGAGGAGAAGGGGACAACAGACGATGAGATGGTTGGATGGCATCACTGACTCAATGGACATGAGTCTGAGTAAACTCCAGGAGTTGGTGATGGACAGGGAAGCCTGGTATGCTGCAGGCCGTGGGGTTCCAAAAAGTCGAACACGACTGAATGACTGAACTGAACTGAAGCTATCAAGGAATATTTTTTAAAGTTAATCCACATGGTTCTCAACTAGGGCAGTATGCCCCCCTGGAGACAACTATAAGGAGGTATGTGAAGTTTTGCTTATCATAATGACTGGAGGGTTACCCGTTACTCGTTGGCAGAGAAGAGGGAAGTTGAACCTCGTGTAAGTCTAAGGACAGTCCCAAGCAGTGAAGAACTGTCCCTTCCCAAATGCCAAGAGCTCTCTCATTGAGAGCACAGCAATCCATCATCTGCATTTGGCTCGGCTTGCTGAGCTCAGAGTAACATCAATGCTACAACACCGTCTTCCTGGAAACTCTTCTCAGCACTCAGATGCTTATCGGGCCACTTCTCAGGGTGTTCTCTGCCCACTCAATTTATTCCCAACACGGCACTTGTAAAGCTGGCAAGGGGAAAGGGCCAGTGGTTGCCAAAGATGTTAAGAGATGAACAACATCCAGGTAACGTTTTTCGTGGATTTGATCTCAATGAATAACTGCCTTGACGTTCACTTAGAGCAGATAATGCAGAGAAAGGCACACCTGTGAGGCTGTCAGGGAATAGGCAGTACTAAGTCGGGAATGCTTTACTTTGCTTTTTTTTTCTTTTTCTTTCCTTCAAGCACTAGTGACCCATCAACAACATTCCAGCAACTCACACCTCAAAGTCCCTCAAAAAAAAAAAAAAAAGAAAAATCTGTAACTAAGAAGAACCAAGAACCCAAAGGAGGCAAGGAGATCAGGAAACCTGGCCTTTGCCCTACCAGCACTTTTTACACTTATTCACAACAACTTGGAAGTCACATCTAGGTTCTGCACACGAGGAATAAGATTTCATGTACAGAAGACAGTATCAAGATTCTGAAACATAATTTGGAGGTCTCATGAAGATAATGCACACTGGGATCTCAGTCCCATCTAAGAATTTACTTAACCTACAGTAATGAAAGATCCAGAAAGAGACTAATTAGAATAAGGCTCCAAAGTGAATTCATTATGGAGTATTTAATTACTTGTGACATTCAAAACCAGACTGGTGACAGGACACAGAAACCCAGGAGAGGAGTGTCCCTTGGACATTCACGCACGCCCAGGACAAGAAAATTGGCCCCATGTTAGGGGCTCATCGGATATGGGTGCTGCCTCTCAGCCCATGACAACCCAGGAAGCCAGGAACACACCATCAGCTCAGGGCCCTTGCCTGGTCACTCATGAGAACCACCTTCAAGGCCCTGATGCTTGCCAATACCAGATCCTGCCCACCCTAGAGTTTCAGATTCAACCAGTCCAGGGTGAGCCCCAAGCACCAGTTATTTTTTTTTTAAAGCTTGTCAGATGGTTTTAATGTGCAGCAGGGCTGTGTGATTTCCAATGAAGGGGCTCAGAGAAGGCTCTTTGAAGGTGATGGTTTCCCAGAAGATGAGCATGGGTAAAGGAAGAGTAGGAAAAAATTATGGGGGAAAGATGATGTGATTCTCTAAGACCTGAACCTATGAGGTATGCTTAGGAGCAGAGATAATACATGTACAAAAGTTAAGTTGGACCCAGGTTGTAGAAGGCTGCGAAGAGCCAGTGAGAGCTACCTATGGGCAATAGCTGATAGGCAGGCACAGGGTTTGGGCCACCAGCTACGGAAACCCATCTTTGCTCCTTCTGCAGGTAACAGGCCTAGCATGGTGCTTATAAAGCAGGTTCTAGAAACTACCACTCCATGAATGGTAATGAATCCACCACCAACAGAAAGTGGTGGAGAAGACTAGCTGTTTTTATGGGGGTGGGGAGGGCTGTCCAATAGAGAAATGATTTGGGGAAACCCTAGATTAAAAACAAAACAAAACACGTGTCTTCCTTGAAGGGTTTCTTGATACTTTTGACACCCCAAAGGGCACTGGAAGATCCAAGAAGAGAATGAAGGATGAAGCATTTCCCAAACATGTGAGCACAGCCTTTCCTGGAGGTGCATCTCGTGGTTCCCTGGGCCTAGAACACACCTTGACAACAACTGCCTCCCGAGAGGGTCCCTGAGAGGCTGTGTCTGACCACCCAGAAAGTTCGGACATGTGTCCCTGATGCTTGCCAGTGGACACGTGAAGAAAAACAGGCAGCTCAGAAAACCAAGAGGAAGGAGGAGCTGGGGAGAAGGTTCTCCTCTTGCCGTTTTCTCAAGGAAAAAAAAAAAGAAAAAACACGTATTGCTGTTATTTCTTCAAAACCTGGTTACAAGCATAATGACTGCTCAGTGTGGGAAATTTAGACACTTTAAGAAATATGACATGGAAACCTTTAAAAGCAATAGCTCACCTGGTAATTATGGACTTCAGGATTTGTTTTAGGGCTAAAAAAAGAAAAAGAAAAAGAAAAATTGTAATAGGCTGTAAAGCAGATTGATTACTGATTTATTTAACAGCTGTAAACTAATCTTAGGATGTTGGCTACTCTGTCAGCAACTTTTACAAATCCTATTTCTTTTTGGTTACTAGCAGTTTAACTGAGTATATAATTGGGGAGACTAAATAGCAGCTCTCATTAGTCACTTAAAGCTTACAAATTTTAAAAAAAGCTCACAAATAAAAATATCTAGGTTAAGATTCCAGAATCCCACTTGTGACATTATATTTTAGTGGTAAAAAAGATCTTTTCACAGTTGGGCAAACCAAGTAACTTTAGCTCCCGTTTCAGGTTGCCCTGGCATTGCTGGGTGGCCCAGCCTATCAGGCAGCTCCAATGATGCCAGGGCTTTTTCCAACTGATGGAAGAGTTGCGGGTCCCTTCTGAGCACCCACCACCAAGGGCCCCACTTCCCTCAACAGGGCAGCCATGGCATAGCCACCACTCTGGAAGGTTCATTCCACATAAGGTTCTGTCCTGGGAACTTGACATCTTGTTATTTAATCCACACAGCAAGGCGATGAGCTGCATACATGTTACCACCTCATTTTATACGAAAAGGAATGGTTGCCTAACAGGAGTTAAGACACTTGCTGGCTAGTCCATGGCAGAGACACTTTTGTGCAAAATCTCCAGGTCTGTACTCTTTCTGCTAAGCCACCCTGGCTCTCTGAGACCCTGAGGAAAGGTTCCGGGCTCCTCACGCATGATCCTTTGTTGATGGAATCTGAAGTCTAACCGCTCTGGTCAGAAGCATGGACAGAGACAGCTGGTGCAAAACACAACACTTGGCCAGAGAAACCACAAACCAACCCAAGTACAAGCATCGGGCTAAGCTACTAGGGCGGCATGTTCGAAATCAAGGTTTCTCCAGCAATGAGAAGGAAACCCATCATGGTTATGAGTCTTGCTTGAGGTCCAAATAGTCCTGCGTTCCAGTTTCCAGAGGGGGCAGTGCACAGCGCCAGGCTCTGGGCCAGATTCACCCCCTGCTGCCCTTCCCCAGGAGGACTAAGTGGCTGCAAGATGCCGTACTCCTGGCATTACCTCGGCCCTCAGAGCACAATTGTGTCCCCAGCTCCCACAGCACTGCTCTCCACCCCAGGATCCCACAGGCTGTGAAGAGCAATTGAACAGCTGCGAACAGTGGTTATTAGCTCATTTGTTCCTAAAGGGTATGTTTACTGGGGTTGGTTTTTTCCCTCGGTGGAGTGTGTTTTTTTTTTTTTTTTAGCTTGTTGTAGCTCCCGATATATATAATCTCTACTAGATGCTATGAGGAAAATGTAATTTTATTAGGGAAAAACAAACAAACAAAACAATCACTTCCTGAGTGAGCAAAGGAAAGAAATGTAAGTCGTAAGCCCCTGAGAATGAAAAGCAAGGCACACACTGCCCACCACAGGGATCCTGGAAACACAGCAAGCTTGTGGGCCTAAACTAACCCACGTGGGATCCCTGAGCTCCCCTCTTATTCTCGAGGTCCAAGCCGGGTGTGGAGCAGTTCAGCAGGCCTCTCGGGGCCTTCATGAGATGCTGGGAACTGAACCCAGACACAGGAGTCAGACACCTGCCACCCAGCAGAACAAACGGCACTGCAGGCAGCGTGTGCAATCAGAGATGCAAGGCTGAGTTTCCAGCTGGGTTAACACAAGGGCCAGCTACGAACTCCAGAACCTTGTGGTCCCTGAGGTATCTTGGGGGCTGCCTGGGAGTAGGGTGGGGTGATGAGCAGCAGATGCCAGCCCTGCCCTCGGGTCCCAGCTCAGCAGCATCCAGAACATCCCAAACTGGTCTGTTTTCTGTCTTGGAAAACCTTCCATGGCAGGTTTCCCCTAGGGGGCCAAAGCCAGAGGCTAAAGAAGTTTGAAAAACACTTGATCAAGCCCAACCTCTTTGTTTTCAGATGAGAACAAGGAAAGCCCAGAGCTGGCTGGTGCTCCGCGGGGGCTGGGCAAGAGGCCTCCCGACATCTCATCACCAGCCCGCTCCTCCACACCCGCCGCCAACCGCTCAGGGTGCCCAGCGCCCCAGAGCTGTGCTGACCTCAAAGACCACCCTCTGCGGCAGCCTGAGCCCTATGCCTGGGATGGCCAGAGACTACCTAAACAGGACCACCAGTGGCTGGAGCTTGGACCCAGGGGCTGAAACAATTATAGTCTGGGGTTCTCTAGCATAATAGCTGTCTACCAAGATCAAAACTCACGTAAGAAAACAATTGTTTCGGGGAGAGAAAGGTACATACCAGGTGGGACAGACCTGGGACCTAGACCCCCCTGGGAGCTTTTAAAACCACAGATGCCCAGGTCCCCACCCCCAAGAGACTGATTTGATTAGCCTGGGGTGCGGCCTGGCTGAGGCTGTCACAGCTCAGCACGTGATTTCCATGTACAGGAAAGATGCAGGCCACCTGTGCGTTGGGGACGGGGCGGCAAACCACGCCCCACGGGCCAAACCTGGCCCACCTGCTTTTGTGAGTCAAGTTGAATCGGAACACAGTCCCGGTCGTTCACTGATGTACTGTCTGTGTTGCTTGCATGCTCTAAGGACAGAGCATGTCTGTGGTCCTGAGACAGACGGCAGAGCCCACAACATCTAAAATATTTACTACTTGGCACTTTACAGAAAAAGTTTGCTGATGCCTGTGCTAGAGTTTCAGTCTCAAGACGAGTCCTCTTCCTGCAGGAATATCACTGGGTGTCTGATAAAGGTCTTCCACGTGGTCTGACAGAAAACCCACATGTCACCGAGCGAACCCAGCTTTTCTCTGGGAGCTTCGGCTTTTCCATAGCCTGGCCCCTCTTTCCCACCACCGCATGCAGAGCCGTTAGCACACCCTGTCCTATACATGCCGATCGCCTTCGTCACCACTGTTACAATACCCGGGGCACAAAGCCACTCAAGCAAAGCAGCTGTGCTCTCCAAAGTAACAAACTATCTTGGAACGTTCTATTGTGTACTTGTTGAAAGCCAGGTGGACCATAGAGCCTAGCAGCAGAAAAAGGGGACAGAGGGTGGGGCCCATCAAGTGCCTCACTTCATGATTTAATTGTATTAAACGTCACCACTGCAAATAGATAGAACAATTCTACAGCAGAGCTGTCCCCAGACTCTGCGGGCACTTACCAGAACTGAGCTGCTATCACTGGGTTACTTGCTTTAAAGGAAAAACAGAAAAATAAGACATTTTAGAGAGCTTGACCACTTTTTACCACTTGGACCACTTTTTACCAATGACTGGGGAAGAGACTTCCATGATCTCAGAGCAGTCCCGATCCCAGAAGGCAGACTCTTCAACCTGGTTACTTCTCCTTTCTGGAGGAAACATAAATCACCCTTCTTGCTGGGCCCCACCCTCCGATTCACTCTGAAAATGATCGCTGAGCCAGTTCTCAGGACCAGGAGCCCTAGGACGCAGAGACGAGACAGCCCCTGCTCTCAAGGAGCTTATAGTCTTCATATAGAGAGAGAGTGCATCAGGAGACACCACAAGCTGAAATACAAGCATGAGCCTGTGCGGCGGACCTCAGGGCAGACGCCTGCAACCCGGTCCGGGTGTGAGTCTGTAGAAGGATCATGGACAGAGGTAGACCTTGGGTATCTAGACTTCACTTTGTTTTGTGAAAACTGGAGCACGGAAAATTGTTACATGTTTCCCGAAGAGGCCAGAACTCTGGCTGGAGAAAATGTCAAGAAACTAAAGGAGGCAAAGAGGTTGGAGACCAGGAAGGGAAGTGGAGGAGAAGCACAGAACGATGGAGTCAAGGCCCCTCCCCACTGCAGCAGCCACAGCCTCTGTGTCTGCCCACCTCCAGGGGCTGCGGACTCACTCCCTAAAGAGGGAGCACTGTCTCTGGCCGGCCGCATCAGAAAGTTCTTCCTTATACTGGGGTGTTTCTGGGCAACTCTGGACCAGTTGGCTACGAGCACAGTGCTCGCCAGGGAGGTGAACACAGCTCTTGGGACAGAGTGTGCTCTCATCTCTCTCCCCACCCCATCACCTGTCACTCCCAGTTCCTGCAATCAGTCACCCTTCACGGATCTGCCACCCTCCCTGGGCACACCCCCACCCTCTCAACCTCTGGCCTTTCTTGAAAGTGAGGCCACATTCCCTAAGCTCTGGGCATTTTTCCCCCAGAGAAGCAGCCAAGAATGGCTTTAGAGTTTCTGGTCACCATACTACCGCACTGTTGGTTTACAAAGGAAGGAAACAGAGGGGTTAAAGATTCTAGAATGGGAAAGCGTAGGCGCCAGGTCCCACAAAGGCCCACTAAGTCCCGTGTTATACAAGAAAAACATATGGAATGGCCACTACACTGATATCCAAGCAGGGAACAAGGGAGGGGTAGGGAGAGTGCAAAGGTCCTGCTATAAAAGAACAAGCATCTCAGTGCTAAACTCGATGTCCCGAATGAAGGAGCAAGCAAGTGTGGACATGGGAGAGCTAGGCTTTGGGACTGGAAACAATCCTGGACTGCTCATCTCCTGCCTGCACCTGTATTGGGGACTAGGGCCCATACACGAGCGGGGCCACAGTAGGAGATGACAGACGAGGCTCAGGAAGGGAGGGGTTGGGCCCACATCCGGGGCCTGGCTAAACTCAAGGGCAGGGAGCGTCTGGATTGACTGTGGGCCCTGAGTCCAGGATTTAAGGGTTCTGGTTCTCCTCTTACATAGTCAGAATTCTGGTTAGCACGAGACTGATGTCCCCACTTGAAACTGGAAGATGGAAGACAGGATTTCCCTGGTGGTCCAGTGGTTAAGAATCGGCCTCCAACGCAGGGGACATGGGTTTGACCCCTGGCCTGGGAAGATTCCACATGCTGCGGTGCAACTAAGTCTGTGTGCCACAACTACTGAAGCCCACGTGTCCCAGAGCCCTGCTTCACAAGAGCAACGAGAAGCCCACCCACCGCAACTGCAGAGTAGCCCCCACGTGCTGGAACTAGAGAAAGCGCGGGCACAGCAATGAAGGCCCAGCACAGGCAAAAATAAATAAAATAAATTTAAACTGAAAAAACAACAACCAAAAAACCCAAACAAAGAAAAAAATAAACTGGAACATGGAGGAGAGACAGGGACTGTTTGTCCCTCAAAGACACGTCATCATCTTCCACAGGCAAGAAACAAGTTTACCCATGACATCTCTGAGGTCCCAGGTCCCAAAGAAGCAAACAGGAACAAGAAAGGAAATATGGAAAAGGGAGAGAAGGAGAGGGACACACCCAATGGGAAAGACTAAAGACAGATGGATGGTGAGAGTAGCTCGATTCCCACCAAGAGAATCCCACTGGGGTTTTGCTGAAAGATTCACAGTGACAGAGAGCAATAAACAGTTCCTCCAAAAACTGCTTCACCAAACGCCTTGGGGCTTAACCAACTAAACCGCGACATAAAATTCCAAAACAGAATGCAAATCACACCACCTTTGAACGTCGAATGTCTTCGGGATGGGTAGCGTTTACTAGGCTTCCTCTCGAAGGTGCTGGTTCTTCGTAACCTGGCGCCATGGGTCGCTTGATATTCGGTCCGCCCACTGGAAAGCAAACATTCACAGCAGGCTACCAAAACCGCAACGTCGGTACAGTATATGTACTTGGAAGTGAATTTTTATTTTCAAGAGCTCCAGTGTAAATTTCAACTTATCTCAAACTCGTTTGGGTAAAGACACACACTAAATTTAGCTTTCTGTTTGGAAATAAAATCGCCATTGCCAAATCCAGGCTGTATTCCATTTCTACCAAAGGACAAACCTGCAATTTAGGGACCAGCCACTTGACTGCACAAACCAAGGAGGTCCAAGTATCTGGAACATTTGCGTAAAAGAACACCAAATCACACATAAAATAACCTTTCATAAAACATATTAGGTAGAGGTTTAACTCTTTTAAAAGGCTGTTATCAATAACCACTTAAACTAAACCGTGGCTTTCCTTGCTATGCCCAAGAAAACACTGCTGCTTTCAGGAAGGCTCTCCATCACCCTGACGCCCAGCTACAGCTTCCAGGCGGCAATGCTGTCTTTGTCTGATCTATCACTGCCTCATTCCAGCCACCCTCGGTTTACAATTTATCACCTGGAAGGAGGCACTTGCCACCTGCTCTAACTGCCTCCCAGGGGCAAGTTCATCTCCAAACTCCCTTCCATCTCATGCTTCCCTTTAAAGAGCACAAGGGAACCTGGGCTAGGCCAAGCCCCACGGGAGTGTCCTCCCGGGATGGAAGCCTGTCTGGGCAACTTCTACAGTCCCTTGCTCATTTCAACAAGAGTTGACTTCAGAACACCATGCAATGCCTCTGCCAGGCTTTGCGATCATGATATCTCCAACCCCCCACAGGACCCGTGATTCGAGTCTTTCTCAGAAAGGACTTGGTCCCCCTACTCCCCTCTGCAGCATTTAAAAATACATTCAAACAAAGTAATTCTTTAAACACAAGTGCACAGCCATTTCTGTGCACAGCAGAAGAATCTGAAATGAACAAATCCTCTGGCATTTTAAATAGAGTTCAAGGACATGCCACGTGTGGGAAGAGGTTATGAAACCATGTGAAGTTTCACATCTAGTAACAGCAATTCTCAGATCTATAAACAGGCCTCAGAAATCAACCCTGGGAGTGTATTTAAAATGGACATTCTCAGGTTTTATTCATACAGGCACATGTGTGCAGCCACTGACTCTAACTAGGAAAGTCTTAGCTGGGGTCCTAAATCTTCATTTTTAACAAACATCCAGGGAGTCCTCGTGCACTTTAAGAGACATGGTCTTAGAATCATGAATAAAAACATATCAGAATAAATTCTCTTTCTCCAGAGTCTTTTCAAATACTCTGGGTCATTCACACACCCGGTGACATCCGCACTTATTCCTAACTGTCATCAAATACCCTGATGTTAGCATGTGACAGGCCATAGAGCAGAGGTTAAAAAAAAAGACAAAGGACCCCGACCGCCTGGGGTTGAGGCTCAGCGCCAGCACGGACGGACAGTGGCTTTGGGCGGACTATCTACACCCCGGCACTAGTTCCCTTATTCGCAAAATGGGCACAATCTGAGGACCCATCTATTAGGGCCACAGGGAGGATTCACCAGTTGGTACGTGAAAAGCTCCAGAGCTGGATGGTTGATAGAGCTTTCTTTAATGATGCTCGTGTTCTACCCACAAGGGCGCCGCCCAGCGTGGCAGCCACCGGCTTTCATTTGCACCGGGCTCCTGAAGCCTGAAGTGAGACCAAGGAATCACATTTTAAAATGTATTTATTAATCTAAACAGCCACCTATAGCTCGTGTCTACTGTATTAAGACAGCACGGTTCCAGGTGAATGTCAGTGGTTAAGCATTTTGTGATGATTAGTCTCATTTTATCAAGCAGGATAGGGAGGCTGAAAGAGCTCAGATGTTAAGAAAGAAGCTGGAGCGTGAGGTCCAATGCAAGTCCCCGAATACACATCCACAGCTCCTTTTCCCCAAAACGTCCCCGCCACCCTCCTTCGGGGCTCGTGATGGAGCGGTAAAAATGGCGCCTACCTGAACCGGAAGCGCGAGCCCAGCCGGATGAAGTCCGACCTGTTGGACTTGCCGTTTCCTGGCGTCCGCAGCCGGAAGAAGGCGTGATGCTCCACGGCGCACTTCCACAGGTGCTTGCAGGTCCGGGCGCTGTCCAGGCGGAACACGAACGTGTGCTCCTGCTCCCGGCCCTCGGAGGAGAAGTGTGAGTTCCAGTTTACGCGGGTGCTGGTAACACCGATGCAGGCTCACTCCCGGCGAAGAGGAGGGACGGGGGCAAGGCTTACCTGGTCATCATCCTCCACCACCACCAGCGTCAATTTGCTCTTTTTAAAATCCATCTTGGTAATTTTCGGCCTGGCCAGAGAGAAAGCATTTTACAAGCGCAGTCTGCAGGAGCGAACATCTACACATTACACAGCCCTTTCCTTTCTACCGGTTACGCTTCGATTTGCTTAAGAAATCATTCATTCAGGTAAGTGTGATTATTCAGAAGCGCCACTTCCATTGTCAGACACCCACACACGCAAGAGTCTGTGTGTTTTTAAAACGAATCTGGGTGTTGCCAGCATCCCTCGATCATCATCCCTCACATAGAATTCCACCACAAAAGAGGAAAAAGACATTTTTAATATAGGACAAAACTAAATTACCAAAAGAATAAGCCTATTTTGTTAGCTCCTTCAAAGATTAATATGCCTGTCGGGGTCAGTCCAAGAGAATATTCACAGCCATCTCTTCCCTACAAACAAACGAAGGCACAGTCGGTAGAAGGTTCTAACAGGTGGTCACAGAGCAGAATGCAAAACAGTTCTTCACCGCGTTGTTTCCACATTGTTTACACATTTTTCCCATCACGGGGAACCCCAGTTACTTAAATGGCACAGTTCTTACCCTGACAACGTGCATGTCTACCCCATACATTTCCAGCCACTTCGCTTTATTCAGATAGGAGAGTTCCGCCTGGGCAGGGCTCTTTCCCCTTAGAAAAATCAACAAGACATGTGTAAACTGCCATGTGGACACCCACAGGAGTCTGCAGGGCATGGCCACTCTAAGGGTGCTTGGGGCAATTAAAGGGAAGAGGGATACAGTCTACATTAACATGACACAACCTCCGAGGGCAGACTGCTAACAGAAAAAAGAAAAAACAAGGCCTAACAATATGAAGGCTTGAGGAAGCACTTGTGTGTGTAGATACGTGCACATGTGTGCAAAGGAGAAAGGCTGAGTATATATAGCTGACTGCTCAGAGCACCCTCCTGCAGGGCAGAGAGTGGGGTGGGGCATATGGGGAGTAAGGTATGGCAAGATTCTATATCCACATTTTTCCACGTTGTTTCAGTGGGATACAAGAATGTGCTGAGGTCACGTGCCATTTGCAAGAGTCAGAATGGCTGCGGGACACCGTGAGCCCATGCTGTTTCTGAGTCCAGGAGTGACTCGGCACCGGCAGTGTTTGGGGAAGATGAGCGGGCAGTAGGAGAGGCAGCGGGCCTGTTCTCCAGGCATAAAACTGCCAGGCTAGGGTGGCTGAGGGGAAAAAGGGGACAAAGCAAAGGATAAATGACAGGACTGGATTTAGCTGTGGTGACCACGTGTCCTGAAATGTAACTCTGTACAACACACGGTCTCAAATGTGAGTGTCCCCATAAGGGACCACAGGACACATTTCTATAGGATTTGGCCTTGAAGTTCAGGCCATACACACAGCCCCTGGTATGCAGACTGGCTGGATCCAGGCAGCACCCCCTGGCTTGTTCAGGAGGCTGGGAAAGCGGCCCTGATTATTCAATGAGCAAATCAGGACCAGGTCCTGCATTTCTGAGAGGACCCGGAATGTGGTTTGGTTTTTACTGTGCAGCTCTGGAAAGAGAGACGTCCTGTGGGCCTTTGGAAAAGCAGGGCTAAAGTGCAGGAGAGAAAGCAGTGAAGAGCTGGAGCTGTAATTTCAGTCATCAGCAGGGCCACTCCACCAGCAGATAAAGAGTCTGATCAATGTTTGTTAGTCACTCAGTCGTGTCTGACTCTTTGTGACCCCATGCACTGTAGCCCGCCAGGTTCAGGCTCCTCTGTCCAGTGGGATTCTTCAGGCAAGAATACTGGAGTGGGTTGCCATTCCCTTCTCCAGGGGATCTTCCCGAACCAGGACGTCCAAATTGCAGGCAGATTCTTTACTGTCTGAGCTATCAGGGAAGCCCTCTGACCAATGCTTACACGTGACCAAATGCATACATTGGAATGCTAGATGGTAGCATCAAGGTACCTGCATTCTTTCCATCTCTGGAAGATATCAAATTCCATCGCTTCTGTCTGATTTGGAATGAACCGAAACTCAGACACAAGCTCTGGTGTGTGTTCTGGAAGCTCGCACTCCCCAAGCTCGGCTGCAGGTTTCATAAAAGGGAGAAAACATAAGACAGTGAATGCTTCTGGTTATTGCAGCAGCAAGTCCAAAGGCGCTCTGCCTGACTGTAAACAGCACAGGTAACCCCTCAGGTATAACTAAGGCCCTCCTTTCAGGAGGACTTAACTCCCACTGGGTCCCCAGAGGTACATTCAGAATCCCCTCCAATCACTCCAGTGTGCTCCCCACCGGGCCATACACCATCATCTCGATTATGACTGTCTCTCTCCCGACTACTTCTCCTGCCCAGGGAGGCCCTGATTACATTACCCCCACCAAACTGTAGTGCCTAAATTTGCAATAAAAGGCAACTGCAGGGAATGGGGACCTGCCCAGAAACATCCATGTAACAAGGCTCTCGTTAAGGGTGGGTCTGAGCAGCACACCAGAGTCTGCAGTGCTGGAGAGGACCAATCAAGAATTCAGTACAGGCAGACTCGGGTGTTGGGGGGATGTCAGGAGGGAGAGGGAAGGCGTGAGGAGGGAGGGAAGAGGGGGTGCGAGGGCTGTGGGAGCAACTGCGGCAACTCAGGCAGAACCTGGGAGGGAGGCGGCTGTGCAGAAAGGAGCAACAGCCACGTGGGCGATCCCAAGCAAAAAGCCCAAAGCCGCCCCCACAGAATGCAGGGCCGGAGGACGCAGGAGGCCCATTCCTCCTAGACCTGAATGAGAAAATCTCTCTCCACTCCCCCAACCCTCGCAGGACAGGAGGCAGAGCCCAGAGGGAAAAGGAATCCCCCTGAGGTCCCTCTGCTCCTTTTCTGCGATTACCTCTAGTATCTGGCTAATACCAAGTGTGGTCTGCAGACCAGCAGTGTGGGCATCACCTGGGAGCTTGCTCACCATGCAGAATCTCAGGCCCCACCTGGGACCTGCAAGAGCAAACCCGCCTCCCACCAAACGCCCAGGAGGGTGGGGCACACGTTACTTGGAAAAGCCTGGATCTACAACAGGGCTTTTCTAACAAATATGCATCAGAATTGCCTGGAGGAGTTGCTAAAACACCTTTGGCTGGCCCCCACCCCCAGAGGTTCTGAATCCATAGGTCTGGAATAAGGCCTGAAACCCTGCATTTCTCTTTTTAAATTTATTTATTTTTAACTGGAGAATAATTGCTTTACAATGTTGTATTGGTTTCTGCCATAGAACAAGAATCAGCCATAGGTATACATATGTCTCCTCCTTCTTGAACCTCTCACCCACCTCCCACCCTGAAAACCTGCATTTCTAACAAGCTCCCAGGTGATTCTGATGGAGCTGATGCAGTATGTTCCCCGGGGAACATACTTTGAGAACCATTGCTTAACACAGAATCCCACCAACAAGCCAGCACATGACCAAATACCCCTAGTTGCAGCAGCCCTTTCTACTGGCTTCTGAGCCCCAATCCCAGTGCCCACCTTTCAGGAGAGGGATTCCTGTGGGCTTGCAGAAGAGGATGAAACGTCCCTGTCCACCCAGAGGAAGCAAGAAGGGCTGGTGTGAGGACTGCATGAGACAGCCTCTGACACTGGGCAGGGAATTCAGGGCTGTCTCCTGGCCTGACCACAGCCCCTCAAATCTGCAGCTCCCAGCTGGACGGCACCCCTAAGACCACCAGGGGTCTGGATCAGGGTATGCAGCTGCTGGGGACCCTGGGCAGAGCCACAAGTGATGCTTCTGCTCTGGACATATTTGCCCAGAAAAGGGGAGGGCTGGGCTTCCAAGGCTGGGGGCTGCAACTGATCTCTGACCTAGATGTTACCCTGAAGCTGCAGACCCAGCAAGGTTGGAAGGGCGGCCTGGAAAGAGGTCTCCCTTGATATGAAACACCCTGCAACATGGGCCAAAGCGAGCCATGCGTCTGCTGGGGTGTCTGCACGAGACTTGATTAACTGTACCCCGACACCATCAAGCACAGGAGGGAGAGGCCAATGACAAGGTTCCCATGAGACAAGACGAGGGGGCTAGTGTCCCTCCTTATCATTAGGGGGACTAATACAGGCCTGAAGGACACCCATCCTGAGGAAGCATGCTGCCTGCCTTCCAAGAACCTGCCAGCAAGAGCACACTTCGCTTAGCCGCGGTGGGGGACGGGGGGTGTGGAAGAAACAGCTCAGAGGCAGGAATGCTTGACCCCTGCTTGACCTGTGTGACCTGGGTAAAGTCTCTTAACTGCCTGGGTCTCTAATGCCTTAGCCACAAACCTGAAACTTAACAAAGCAGGGACACACCACAAATGACTACATTTTCCCTCCTCCTTTTTCTTTGTACCTGAATTAATTTTCAAATCAACCATAAAATTCATTCTCAAAAGAGCAGAGCCTCCAAGCAGGGCCACCGCATCACAACAATGGAGGCACTGATTCAAGGACAACTGCGGCAAGACACGTGTTCACAGCTCCAGCATGAGAGGAAACACCTTTCCTTGCAGTTTTCAAATGCACAGAGGCTCTTGAGAAATTTCACAGTCCTTGGGGAGCTCTTCAAGTCCATTCTGCACTTACTGATCACCTACAGTAAGCCGAGTCCCCATTCAAGAATAAGAACTAAAGGTGACTAAAGAACTGAACTTTCAGGGAATGGGAGTAATCTGGTCATTAAAAACCAACTTTATGAGCATAAACATGATGAAATCTATGTATTAAAATTACCAAATAGAAAACCATACAAAAATATCTGTATACGACTATGCCCAGAACTACATTTTCAAAACTCAAAACACATAGAAACTCTGCTTGTCTGTGAGTAGGATGATGGCCTCCTTCCTTCCTTCTACTTGTCTTTTGTCCTGCTATTCTGTAATAAGCCTGTACTGATTTTATAATTTGAAAAGACTTAGATCAAGTTTTAAAACTTGGTAAATACAAAAGTCGGAAGCCAAATCTTATTCCGATGTTCAAAAAGAATTAGTGATTATGAATGAAAACATCACAACTCATTATCCCGTAGAAGCCAAAGAGCACACTGATCCGAGTCCACAGCTTATGTCTGTCTGATGTGCTAACGAAATTCCTTATGTACAGCTACACGTTAGTATCCTCTTAACTAGTGCTGGAGACTTCAGTGAACGTTTCTCGTGCATCTTACACTAAAATCCACCAATGCATCAAATGGATGGATTGGTCAACACTACAAGTCAGGCAGGCAGCCCTCTTACCCGTCTGTTACCACCCACATGCTGATGGCTCCCCTGTCAGTGCTTCCAGCCTGACCTCTCTCGTGGAGCCTGATCTGCACTGACTCAAGAAGCTTCCAGAGGCCCCATCGGCCCCTCTGAGCCAAGACACGGCACAGGTGTCCCACCATGGAGCCCAACTCTTAGTCTAGCCATTCGCTGTTACCATCACCCATTCTCAGCAAAAGCTTAGCAGTCATCTCTGACTCCTCTTTCAACGCTGAAGCCTAATGACTGGGTCCTTCTCCTTATATTATTGATGTGGTTTGGGGGTGTGTGTGTTTAACCCCAGCCTTGGTCAGTTTGGTTTTATTACAGCTACATCTCACTACCCCCCCCCTCACCCCGTCTTGGTCTTGTTCCTGTCCCTTCTCCCCATCATAACCACTGTGGCCTTTCTAAAACGCACATCTGGGGGCCTGCCTCGTCCTTCAAAGGCACCACTGCTGACAGCATGAAGTGGATGTGCTTTAATGGGGGTCAAGGTCATCCACAGATTTTTGAACTTGGCCCTCTGACATTGCTCAATGCTGGTGCCTCTGTGTACTTTCTTCTCTGTGCCTCGGTTCCTCTGTTCATTCCCATCCACGCTTCCTCCCGTGGGCCTGCCACTTCCAAGCCTCCTGCAGGTCTCTCTTGCTGAAGGAACCACACTCTGCTGTATATGTGCGCACGGAGTATGTGATCCTGCCTTGTGGTCCTCAGGGGACCGGAAGCTACTTGGGGATGGAGACTGTATCATGTTCATTTATACCCCCAAAGCAGAGTGCTGTGCCTGCTACATAGACCCCCGTTTGTTGAAAGGAAAAGCAATAACTTTAAAATGCTAATTGCCACTAAGGAGTAATGTACCTTGTAGGCAGAGAGCGGCTAATTCCACAGCTGTTTCATATGGGCATTTCAATCTTGGGGAAAAAAAGAAAGAAATTAACTCTAAATATGAACTTTAATATTCATAACTATACAAAATGTCACTAAAACCATTTTTCAGAACATAGTGATATTTAGATAATGATTTTTGTTCTCTGTGGTTTCTATTTTTGCTGTCTATATTAAAAAATGCAAACAGCCTGACTTACTCTCCCTGTTTCCCAAAGTCAGTTCTCCTCATATGTTAAATTAACCCCATCGAGGTATAGTTTCAACTCTAAGCATAATGGGCAATTTTCCTGAATCTGGCAAGAATGGGGAAGTTTGGAAAAGAGAATGAAAAGCCCTTTCCTTTGCTTTACTAGTTTTAAACTTATTTTATCTTGATTTGACACCCGCATCTTTTCAAGTTGCCTTAAGTCTTTCTTGAAACAAGGTCCTAGTGTTAGAAATAGACAGACAGACACTATATCTAAGATGGCCAGGAGAGCCAGATATACCCAAGCAATCAAATAACTGAGACATTGCCACAGAGCTGTATTACTACAAATCTGGTGATCCCATTCATACTGAATACACAAATCTTGTTAGAAAAATAATAATGACATACATTGGTATAGCACTTCATAGTTTTCAAAGCCTTTTCACATACGTGTATTATCCAGTGTGGTCAATGCATCAAGCATGTCAACCCCTGCTATGGGTATGGCCAGTGCTCCCCACCCTTCACCTCAGAGATGAGGAACTGAGTGTTCAAGTGTCCTGCCCACGGCCGGCCAGCTGGTAAATTCAATGCTGGGGCCAGAACACCAGTCTACTGTGAATATAGTAATGTCAGGCTGAGGTGCAAGTCAACTGCAAAGTGCTGTACGCGTCCAAGATGTCGCCATTAGTATTTTTCCAGACCGAAGGCAATCACTAGGGAAGAGGCTTCTGGTATGGGAGCACAGTGTGGTGAGAGAGAAATACACACAGGCACTTCGATACACACACAATCAAAGACCTGTATCACATGGCTAAGGCAAACGTATACACTGCACCATCTAGTTGTCCTAGAGTGTACATTCCACTAGGATTCCTGTAGCACATATTCTACGGAGAATTTGCAGATTCAGAAATCACATTGTAAATCACCTTCAGGCTATATTCAAAATCAAAATGTATTCTTGTCAAGAGCAGGTATTACTTTTTAGATTCAGTGGGGCTTAGTTTTTCATGTAGCAGAAAACAGTCAATATGTCTGGTGAAAAATGACACAGCTGTAAAAGTTATGACTGCTGAAATCGCGTATCCTTAAAATACATGCACTGCCTGTAAAATCAGTCACTTCAGTGCCAATGCTTGTCATGCTCAGCATTGTATAGCCAGAGGCCTAGGACTTAAAAACCATTTTTAAGAGAGGAAAAGGAAATGAGATGAGACATCTAAACCTCTTTCTAGTAGAATCAGAACATAACCTCTTTACATAAATGCAGATGGTGATGAGCGAGACTTTCAGCTGATCCAAATACTTGTAAGTGTATACTAATAAAGTATCTTGCTTGCAAATACAACAAAAGCCAGTACGAATGGAGCAATGATGTGACCAGGGACAGAATAACTCCCAAAAACACATCATTGAAGATATCAAATGCTCTTGGAAATGCTTCAAGCCATAAAGGATTTATTTAACATAAGATGTTGATGACAGTGATACAAGTATTAGACTCATTTTACAATGCCTGGTGTACTTTTTTTTGAATTTTGAAAAGGGAACAAGGGTGAAGAGTTATAAAAAAACACACACACAATGAATTATTTAGAAAATACACTATGATCTGTCTTGAGTTAATGGTTAGAAAAAAGCATACTTACTTTCCTGAAAGAATGTCATGCCTGAGTTGTAAAACAAACAGGTACCTGACAAACATACACAAAAGTCAACAGAGGGTCACTGTTCCCCAGCCACTTCCAATCCCCAGCTTCCCATCCCTGCTCCCACCCCCACGCAGTCCGGAAGTCTGCACTGTAACAAGGGAGTCCAGGTCAGATGAGAACCTGGGTGGAAGCATCTCCTGTCCCAGGAAGGCATTCCAGAACCTAGCTAGGAAGGTGCATGCATGTAGGAAATTTGCAAGATACTCAGAGGATGGAACATGGAAAGCTACACGGTCCAATGACGCCTCCTCAATGCCCGTGTGCCTCCAGGAGACAGATAGACAGACAGACAGACAGACAGACAGACACACACACACACACACACACACACACATGCATGCGCGTGCGCAGAGCTCACACAATCCAACAGGTAGGGTAGAGCCACTGCATCTGACCCTCAGCCAACCCTGCCAGCAGATTTCAGTAAGGATGCAGCTGATTGTTTCAAAGAGTTTGCAGCTGACTGCAGTGAGTGACTGCCAGAGGCTTTTTTTCTGCCGAGTTTAACCGCAGACTCTGTCTTCAAAAAACCAAAAAACCCATGTGTGCACGCACACAGACACATACACACACACACAGGAACCAGAAATCCTGGAGCTGGTCACGGAAAATGGGGAGGAAGGAAGCAAATAACACCAGTGGAGTTCACTGAAGTAAGAGATTAAGTAAGTGTCCTTTTTACCAGGAGGATGTGGGCATCAGAACCACTTACAGTGCTTTGTAAAAACCAAAGCTGCCCACGCTCCGCTCCACACCTACAGAATGAGAATCTTACACGCAAGAGTGGTCCCCAGGAATGTGATTTGTTCAAAAGCTTCTTGGGTGTTTCTGATTCACAACCCCTGGTTAAGAATCACTGGCTTTGATGACAGCTAGAAGCAGCACACTTCATACAGGACTCTGAAGAGGAGCCCTAGGATAATGTAATTTGTTTGAACTTTGAACACAGTGCACACAGTCACTCTCTGTGGAATGGATATAGGATAATGTGGGTGACCCAGACATGTGGGTGGTGGTGAAGGTTCTAGTACATTCCAGAATGTTCCTACTTCTGACAGGCACTCAACTGCCATTAAACTGAGTACCCATATTAAGGAGCAGACAGTGCTGATGTGGCCAGAACTTCCAATTCCTATAGGAAATCTTAACTACAGAAGCCCACAGGCTCCTCCAGTGGCAGGGCATGGTGATAAAGTCAGTCATTAAAGTGCTACTTAGGTGGTCACCTCCAAGCCAGGGACCACAGCCATGGACCACCCATCACCACTGCTGTCCATCACAGACGATGACAAGGGGAGTCTGGGGAATCAAAGGCAGCAGGAGACTGAGTCGAGAATCTCACTGACAGCAAGGTGGCTGGAGGGAAAGTCCACACGTAAAATGTTTTTTAAGACTCTTTTGCTTCTGCACTATCTCTGAAGTCTCAGAGGCAGACACAGGAAGGTATACCAAGGAAGAAACTCAATGGGGTGGAAAGACACCATGAAGGAGTGCCAACAAATCTGATACTACAACAATCGAGGGAATGTTTTGCAGCACTCCTTAAATAAAATGGCAGTTTTGGATGGTGAAACGCTCTTCTAATATCTGCCTTCCCTTTTGGTATCTGAGACAAAAAATAAAGCGCCAGAGACCAACTAGCCAGTTTACCCGAGGTCCGACAAAACAGAAATGGGACGAGAAGATACACTTCTAAATTTTGATTTACTAAGGAAAGGGCCAATCAAGCAAAGTGGAGGTTTTCAACAGAATACAGAGATAAGGACAGGCAAAGTGTTCATAACTTTTGCTCAGAACACAAAGACAGCAGATGGAAGAGGTGGCGAGCCCAGAGTCTAGAAGACCTGCTGATTATAACTAAGGCAAGTGCTATGGGGTGTGGGTGGGTGGAAGGACCTTCCTTCGCTTCTTGTCCTACCTTGTAAACTCTTCACGAAGGTTGTTCGGTTCTGAAGAATAATATTTAACTCGAAAGTGCAAAGCATAAGCAGGTCCAACTAAGCATTTGGAGATGGAAGGTTGGAGATGTTTTTCCCCAAGTTTTGAAGATCACAGAAGGGACAAAAGGAAAAACACGTTAAATCTATTAACATATCCACCACGCCACTGGAAGATAACAGAACATACAAAGCAACCCCAGTTTGGAAAACTAAAACAGACTTTGGTGTTGACAAAAACAGTGTAGTTAGTAATCTCATTCTGGAAGAAAATCCTACTCATCTAGATGACTTACTGAGAGCTAACACTTTACTTTCACCCCTGACTGCCAAGATACCCCAGTGACACTAACTTTTAACAAAATACTAAGTGGGCTATAGGAAAGTGACACATAAACAGCCAAGTGTTCTGTAATCTAAAAGTAACTACAGTAAAAATACTTTAAAAGTATTAGATTTTTAAAAACTTACTCATACATAAACCACATTGAAGAAATCTGGTTACCACAACATAAAATTAAAGAACAGGACCAGATTGTCAAAGATCCCGCCAGCTCTTCCATTCTCTGAATCTACTTCATAACCCACAAGAACATGAATGTCACAGGTATAAAGTCATGTTTCTGAACATCATATTTTTCAGTCCTCATTGGGGGAAGTGTCTAATTTCAAAAGAGGGCATAGTGTGCTTTTTAACATCTATTAAAAACTCCCATTCAAATTGTAAACTCTTAACATTTAGTCAGTCTTAGGAAATTAAAACATCCTTAGAACTGAATCCATTTGAAAATGCTCCCAAGTTCTAATGAAAAATGTAATACTTCAAAACATTGGCAAAGGAGTTCACTCTCTGAAAAAGGAGTAAGGTAGTAGACTGAATTCTGCTTACTTACTTTTCATCTGCTTTTTTATAGGTTTGGAATGATCCAGCCAGTGCTGAAAGAAAGAAAAAAAAATTGTTTTTCTTTTAGGAATAGATTCATCAATAAGATTTCACAGTCCCCTGGAGTTACCCTCCCCTATAAATCTTAGTAACTAAAACCAGGGATGGCCTCCCTTGTTGTTCAGCTGGCAGAGAATCTACCTGCAATGTGGGAGACTTGGGTTCAATCCCTGGGTTGGGAAGATCCCCTGGAGAAGGGAAAGGCTACCCATTCCAGTATTCTGGCCTGGAGAATTCCATGGACTGTATTGTCCATGGGGTTGCAAAGAGTCAGACACAACTGAGCGACTTTCACTCACAAAACCAGGTATTGGACCAGATTATGAGCTCTTAGGCAACCCGCTTGGTATAATATAAAAATATCTGTGCTTCATGAAAAGATGTCAACATCATTAATTATTAGAGAAATGCTAATCAAAACTACAATGAGGTATCACCTCACACGGGTCAGAACGGCCATCATCAAAAAGTCTACAAATAATAAATGGTGGAAAGAATGTCGGAAAAGTGAACGCTCTTACACTGTTGCTGGGAATGCAAACTGGAGCAGCCACTATGGAGGTTTCTTTAAAAACTAAAACAGAACTACCATTTGATCCAGCAACTCTACTCCTGGGTGTATATCCAAAAAGCCCAAAAACACACATTCAAAAAGATATATGCACCCCAGTGTTCACAGACAACCCAAGTGCCCATCAACAGCTGACTGGTTTAAGAAGGTGTGGCATATATACACAATAGACTATTACTCAGTCATAAAAAAGAACGAAATATCGCCATTTGCAGCAGCATGGATGGACCTAGGGATGATCATAATAAGTAAGTCAGAGCAAAGACAAGTATCATATGCTATCCCTTACATGTGACATCTAAAAAGTAACAAATGAATCTACATATAAAAAAATGGAAACAGACTCACACACACAAAAAAACTTATGGTTACCAAAAGGGAAAGGGGAGAGGGATAAATTAGGAGTTTGGGATTAAACTACAGATACAAACTACTACACATAAACTAGATAAGCAACAAGGATTTACTGTTTAGCACAGGGAAATATATTCAATATCTCATAACAAGCTATAGCAGAAAATAACCTGAAGAAAATTTATATGTAACTGAATCACTTTGCTGTACACATGAAACTAACATAATGTTATAAATCAACTATACTTCAGTTAAAGAAAAAATACCTGTGTTTACACACATCAAGTTCATTTTTCCTGGGAAGAGTTAGCTTTCCAAAGAGGTGCTGAAAATAACCTAAAACCCTTTACCTAATTGATCTATAAAGTCCCTTCAAGTCAGCGGAGCCATCATCAGCCTTTTCCTCCTGAGTTTTCTCATGATAGAACCAAGTCTCCACTAATCTAGTAACGACTATAAGCCGTGCTGCCAGAAGTCTCTGTTCATAGAAGGGGTTTTTTGACTCAGTCCCCCTCAAGTCTAAAATTAACAACCAAAATTCATGACCCTTTAAATGACCCACAATGAAGATGGAGAGACAGGAAGGAATTTGCCTGAGATAATTCTGCTCTGGTCCATGAAGGTGTTTCAACTTCCTCTAGCTTTCACCAGAAACACCACTTCAGTCTTATCCACCCGAGGAAATGACAAAACCACTTCCCTCATATAAAAGTTCCTCTGTAACATCCAAGTTGTTGGCACTACAGTCTTGAGGAGCCTTGGGAGCTTGGCTTCCATGAAAAACATTTACGAACAGGACACTGTGAGCCCCTCCAGGCGAATATACGCCTCGGAGGGCGAGGACCACGCACTTAGTCATCTCTTAGTTTCCTGTGCCACACACGGAGCTGGCCACCCAGCAGGCCTTATTAGATTCTTGAGAAATAAATAAATGGCCAACATACTTTTTTTTTAATGGGGCAAAAAGGGACTTTCCTCTCCTTTAAGGAAACTCCACACATGTGGAACACTGCTGCTAGGACAACAGTTGGAACAATACAGCACAGGGCAGGTTTCTCAACAGCTGTTCCGAGTCAGAGGTCATTCTGCTGACCGTCGAGATACTTTCAGAAGCAATCTAAAGCCTGCACGTTCTAATAATGAAAACAGGAGGGACCAAGTGAGTACCGTGTACGCCACCCCTCACCAAAGAGCCCATTACGAGACTCTGTGGGAGGAGAGGGACAAGGCAACACAAAAGCAAGTAAGAGATGAATTATAACACAATAAGCTGTGAGCGGTGCAATGGGAGACAAGGGCTTTGTCATCCCTGCTCCCTGGCGAGGCAACCGAGTGATAAAAGCCCCAGATCCCCACAGCTGGATGCCGATCTCAAAGGCTTGAGCACAGGGTGCTTCATCTCATTGTTAATAGCTCCGAATGAGAAATGACCTAAATGCCCATCAACAAAGACGTATTAAAAAATGACTCCTCCATGTAGTGAAATACTATTCAGCCTTTAAAACTGATTTAGGCCTAAATTTATTGATGTGGCAAGAGATCCATAGCACAATGTGAGATGGAGGGGGTGGGGGCGGGAAGCAGGTAGGATCCCTTTATAGAAAATTATTATTTCCTATCAACACATGTCCAGAAGAATTTATAGAGGTTATTTCTGAATGTGGGGCTGTGAATGACGTCTGCATGTTTTCTTTTTCACTTTTCTGCGTAGTTTCTTCCTTTTAATGAGAACATTATTTTCACAGCAGAGGGTGTGGTGGGGTGGGTCTGCCAGGTTGTCAAATTTTATTATTCATTTACCACTTGCCTATTGGGTAGTTTTTGACGATCAGTTTGTCTCAGAGTGAAGTCTCATTGCTGCCCCTTAGCCAAGCTGAAGTCCTGGACCCTTAGCCCCTGGGAAGAGGACACACAGGCCTTATAAATCAACATATTTACTTTCCTGCCAAAGTAAGTATCATGCTAATGGCTTGACTAAACCTGTTCTTTGCCTCACTTTCAAATGAATTTATCCATACCAGGCAAGGAACGTTCTCCCCACAACCAACCTCTAATCTTATTAGCCCCGGAGGCTCAGAGCTTAAAGGAGCTTGTCCCATTTCTTTCCTTTCTCACATCTCCTTATCATATTTGGAATAGAATAAATTTCAGCCCACTGTTCCTCTCCCTCTAATGTCAAACTGTAATCTTAATCCAGGCCCCGCCTGTATCATTTCCTCAGCTGGGGTTTTCAACCCTGGCTGCGCATTTCAGTCACAGATACCCAAGTTCCACCCAAGATCATTATACAGAATCCTAGATCATTAGTGTTTTCCAAAGGCTGCCAGTGTGCTCATTAAATATTTAGTGCTGAAGTTTCCCTGCATCCTCTCCTATCCAAGAATATATCCTAATAATGACCCTGGGGATCCTGCAACATCCACGACCCCTTCTGAAGACTGCTGTCTGAGGTCTGTAAAATCTTCAGCAATTTCAGGGTTTATGAGCCAGATGGCCATGGCCCGGTGTTAACTGACAGGCAGATCATGGCCGGATGCTCCTCCTGGACAGCAAATGCCCTTCCCTCTGGCCACACTGCTGAAGAAGTTCCCCTCATCCTCATGCACTAGCCTCCATCCTCCCCACCAAGTCACCAGCCACAGAGCCCTGCCCCGAGCAGGACCTACCAGCCTCCATCCTCCCCACCAAGTCACCAGCCACAGAGCCCTGCCCCAGCAGGACCTACCAGGATGGAGGTCTAGGGCTCACAAAGCTGGGAAAAAAATCAGAAACAGCTCCAGTTAAAAAGCTCCTTGACCCTGCAGTGTTCTGATCAGGTTGGCTCATCTGCATCAGAGGCGATAAGAAAGCCAGTCACAATGCTAAAACGAGATAATAAAACCTCTCTTGTGTCCTACCAGTTCAAACTGACCCAACTTCCTTCTTAGCTGCAGGGGCTGACCGGACCCTGATCACCTGTATTTAATCCCACAAGACCACCCTGGGACTTAAAGACCCTGGATACTCAGGCCCAGTGTGGCATTTAGCAAATCATATCCTGTACTTTGCTTGAAGCCCAATTTAGCAGCAGCAGGACCTATCTCAGATATTCACCTGCATCTGGCTAAATATAGCCAGGCCGCCTGTCAGCAGAGACCAAGACAAATGGCTCCAGACCTCTTATCAGACCAGTAAACCAGTCACTGGAAAGAAACAGGTGCGTTTCTGAGTTCAAAGGGCAAGATATTTAACTCAGACACTCTAATGGGTATTAGGTAGTTTCTGATCTGAATTTCTCATCCAAGTCCATCTGGCAAAATCCTTTCCATAAATTGAGATGTGAGATGATCTGGCAAAGCCCATCTGTTCTGACTGTACATCAGTTCTAGAATTATGACATACATGAGACTGGCTGTAGAATTTAATTGTCTAAAACCTACACACGAGCACTTGAATCACAGGAGAGGCTCAGGGCTTGACAAGGGTCTAAAAACTCTGCTGGAACAACCCCTGGGCCAGCACGTTTGAGTGATGGAGCTCATAACTGGCTTTCTAGTACCTCTAGATTTTCTTGGCTCGTAAAAAGTGTCTAGTTTGCATTTAAATTAGAGCTGGAAGGAATATGAGATAATCACATCCAAAGGATATAAAGAGAAAGAAGAGAACGAACACTTTTGGAGCTTATTGTGTGTGATATTGTGATTCATAATAAGAAATGTATATTTGGTCTTCATCGGTTTCTGGCACAGAGCCCCTAAAACTCTTGTAATTTCCTAAGTGGTAACAGCAATAAAAGTGTCTTAATATTCATAACAAACCCCTTTCCATGACACCTGAGTTTATGTGAATGAGGTTCTTTGGGAAAGCACCTAGGGATGGGGCTGGTTGCTCGGGGAACCAAACACATGAGAGCAGGAACTTTCAGTCCCATCCCCCGATCTCCAGGAAGGGGACAGGGGCTGGAGGTTGAATCAATTACCAATGGGTGATGATTTAATCAATAGTGTCTGTGTGATGAAGCCTCCATAAAAACTCAAAAAGATAAGGTTCAGAGGTCTTCAGGGTTGGTGAACATATGGAAATTTGGGA